AAACCACAGAACACTGTCACGCTGTACTCAGAGCTTGGTTACATCTTCATACACAGCTCCATTCTATGTCTTGAGGCAAACATCAACAAAACAAAACTGGTGCAAATAAGATGGCTCTAATTCTCAAAAATGTGCAATTTCTTTAAACTATAATTCCATGTTTAGGAATTTGCACTAAGAATCCAAATTACAGATGTGAGCAAAGATATATATAGATAGATACGTAATGCAGTAGTATTTATAATAAATATTGGAAACAATTCAAATATAAAATAATTATTAAATTGTGGTGTATTCATATCATGAAAATCTGTGCAACAATTAAAAACAATAATGTAGATTTCATGGCAGTGGGGCAGAGCTATTTCAACAATATAAGTGAAAAAAGGCAGATTACAAAAGACTATGGGGACTTACCTGGTGGCGCAGTGGTTAAGAATCTGCCTGCCAATGCAGGGGATGTGGGTTCGAGCCCTGGTCTGGGATGATCCCACATGCCGCAGAGCAACTAAGCCCGTGCGCCACAACTACTGAGCCCGCGTGCCATAGCTACTGAAGCCTGTGTGCCTAGAGCCTGTGCTCCACAAGAGAAGCCACCACAATGAGAAGCCTGCGCACCACAATGAAGAGTAGACCCCGCTCTCCACAACTAGAGAAAGCCCGTGGGCAGCAACAAAGACCCAAGGTAGCCAAAAATAAATTTTAAAAAAAGACTATGAACAGCATGATCTCAATTTTATAAAAACAAAAACCATACCTTTATGCACATGAAAGTCTAGAAGGTCTTACACCAAAATATTAATAGGATATATCTGGAGGTGTTGGGAATATATAATTGTATGTTCTTCTTTGGGCTTTTCCAAATTTTCTGTAATGAGCATGTATTGTCTTTATAACCAGAAAAACAAAATGAAAAAGAATAAAAAGGCAGAGTAATATGATTTAGAGAATGCAGTAAGGTGACATAAGAAACCAAGAGGTTATTCTATGACTTTTAAGTCACTCATTCAAAAATACTGAGGGCCTACTCTATGTCAGTACGAGTAGAAATACAGAGGCTTTAAAAAAATCAAGTTCTTCTGCCTTTGAAGGCTTCACAATTTAGAACAGCACTGTCCAATAGAGTGTTCTGGAATGATGTAAATGTTCAGTGCAAGTAGCTATTGGGTAGTTAGTATGACTGAGGTATGGAATCTTACATTTAATTTTAATTAATTTAATCATATGTAGCCGCATGTGGCTAGTGGCTTCTATAGAAGAAAAGGCACACTTGGAAATAATTATAATACACTAGTGCTAGAGAAGCACGGAGCGTGGAGCTATTAACTCCGTTCAGAAAAAGCCTCTGAGAGGAGATATTTGGGCAATGAGTCTAAAGGTGTAGTTAGGAATTCACTCTGTAGGGAGGAGAATTTCAGGCAAAGTATACTGCAGATGCAAAGGCAGAGTCATGACTGTGCCTGGCCTTTTTAAGAAAGACAGAAAACAAAAAGCAAAGCAAACAGAAAAGGATTCCAGAGAAAGCTCAGAAAACAGAAAAGGACACCAGAAAAAGCTCATGACCCATCAAGAAAGATGGGGAGAATGAAATTTGGCCAACAAATCCAGTAATATTAAGCTCTCGAGGAAGGAGTCATTTTGTTACATTGCTAGCGGAATAGTGTTAATCAAACCCACTAAAACCCACTGTCTCACGGTAGGAAGAGCTCTTACTCTGTGCCAAGCACTGTACTAGACGCTTTCAAATGCTTAATCTCATTTAATTACGACAGAAGCCCCATTTTACTGAAAAAGAAAGCGAGGCTCAGAGAAGTAACTGCCCAAGAACACACAGCTAGTAACTGAACTTGGATTCAAACCCCTGAGTCGTCTAATTCTAAAGCCCTATTTTCACCATATCATGTTACCCCCACCTAGGAATATGTTTAGATAGAACATAGAAACACTCTGCAATGGAATGCAAACCCTAAGAGATTATTTTTAAACATATCATGGGTCATTTCTAAGCTCTCATGGCTCTAATGGTGACATCCCGGGGGCAACTACCATCATGATCAATGAACTCTGGGTTGTCTATCAAAGATAGTAGACTGAGCTGGACTCCTCCAGGTCATTGTTTGATATGGTCTCATGCTGTAGTGAATGCTGTAGATTACTAGAGCTAACAGTACCAAATTTGGTGCCAATGTCCATGGCCCCCTAAGCCCAATTTACAAGAGCACCACCAAATGACAAAATCATAAGGCCCAGAAACCTATCTATGCTGCCTGGCAGCTCCCACTCATGTAAAAGATCTCGAATTTTCAGTGTCCCACTTTCTGGACCGCTGTCCTCACCATCGTGTCTTTCTGTACCTTGCTCAGATTTGACTCAGTAGCCTTGAGTTAACTCCATCAGCTGCCTATACAGTAAAGCTTCCCAACATCTATTCTGCTCTACTTGTGGGAATTCCTGCTAGGTTTGCATGACATTGAACTCAAATTTTTTCCTCCACTAACTAGGACAGCAACAGAAGGCCAAGGGAAACAGGGACATTCAAGAAACAAAAAAAAAAGACTCTTCTTTGCTAACATTTAATAAAATGTCAATTCTCTTGTACCCCATGTATTAGAAATCTTCTATTTCTAATAATGAATATATTTGGGACCTGATCTCTCTTTCAAGGATGGTTTCCCCAACTTTGGGTTTGGGAACTTTGAGCAGAAGACTTAAACTTGGGAAGTGATTACTGGGTCGTTTTACCAAACATATGCAACCATTAAAGCAGGGCTACCAAAAGAATGATTTAAAAAAAGGGGGGCGGGGAGCAAGGGAAAGAAGTGAATATGTTGTTGGTCAGAAAAGTATCAATGTTGTCATTATGGAAAAAGTAGAAATCAGAAAAAATTTCAGTTTAGTGTTGTTTTAGTTTAAATTATTTTATAGTTTAATGGACATTGCAAGGATGGGGTGGCAGAACATCATCATATTTTCCAAAACTATGTTCTCTAAAGGTTTTCATTAGGCCCTGGTTCCAGCTCAGCAGAGCTAGGAGGCAGAAACAGCAGGACTTTAGGAAGGAGGATTAGCCAAATATCGGTAGCTCGGATCCTTAATTAACTGAATTCATTTCTCTGAGTTCTGCTCCTCAGAGAAAGACAGTCAGTTAGATGTAGGCTTAATACTTCCTAATGAAAGTAGCTCGTTTGGTGACTATCCTCATTAGTTAAAGCAGTAGGTTCTAGTACTGAATTTATTTTTCTTTTAAAAATTGTTTATACACTTTTCAACATAAATTTATACATATGACAATCAAAACCATTTTTAAGACATCTTTATTGGAGTATAATTGCTTTACAATGGTGTGTCAGTTTCTGCTATATAACACAGTGAATCAGCTATACATATACATATATCCCCATACCTCCTCCCTCTTGCATCTCCCTCCCACCCTCCCTATCCCACCCCTGTAGGTGGTCACAGAGCACCGAGCTGATCTCCCTCTGCTATGCGGCTGCTTCCCACTAACTAGCTATTTTACATTTGGTAGTGTATATATGTCCATGCCACTCTCTCACTTCGTCCCAGCTTACCCTTCCCCCTCCCTGTGTCCTCAAGTCCCTTCTCTACGTCTGCGTCTTTATTCCTGTCGTGCCCCTAGGTTCTTCAGAACCATTTAAAACCATTTTTTTTTTTTTACAGTACAGCCTTTTCCTTCTCTTTTCCTTTTTTGTTTACCTCTTACCCTCTCTCCTCTCCACTCACATCAATGCCCATGCTGCCCACCAGTAATCCTACATACTACCCAGTGTGTATGCTGGAAAACACACACACACACAAACACACATACACACACACAAACACACATACACACACGCAGGAATGATATTATATGCACTTCAGTGCATCTGCTGTTCTCATTCAATACCTCATGAGTATCTGTCCAAGCCAACTGTATGGCTCTAAACCATTCTTTTTAAGGCTACAAAATCATTTCATGCTTTAGACGTACTATTGATCTAATGTGGATATTTTCCCCTGAGGCTTCATTTATCAACTGTGCTATAATAAGCATTCTTGCACTGTAGTGTTGTTTCTTTGGGATAGATTTCTAAGAGTGAGGTTGCTACATCAAAAAATAGTGCAGTTGCTCTTTTTTTCTCTCTTCTTTTAAAAAAGATTATGCTAGACGTTCTTATTTTGCAAGTGACCTTGAGCACTCACCTCTCTTCCCTGGACCTCTGTTTTCTCACTGTAAAGCAGGCGTGTGGGACTATAGATGACCTTGAATGTCCTCTGCAGCTTGTTTTAAACTTCTCTGCGTCTGCACCTATGCCCACTGCTCTGTGTTTTGCTGCAGTGAAGTGAAAATCATCACTGCTGCTGACTCAAGAACAAGCGTCCTGCCTGTCTGAGTCTCAAGATTTTGGACCTACATTTTGCACACAGGCTAGTTACTTAGCTGAACCACTGATTTCCAAGTACAAACTCTTCTGAAATGCTATAGTGAGGGAAGATTTCCCTGATTAGTTTGTGTTTCCTTGACACCCGCGGTTCAAATGAGAGCTGGACAGTGAAGCTGATTGCAGAGTTCTAAGGTTCTGCTGTGTACGTTTAGATTTACCTTCATCTAAACAGGACACACTCCTAGCAGCCTCTTTGATTACTTTTTCAGGATGCTCCCAATTTTAATGAGGATAAATACTTGATTATTGCGTGACCACACCACTGAATGAGGAGGGAAAATGTTGCACAATGGTTATCTACTTTGTCAGGCTTTCTATTCTGTGCATGTCTACCCATAGTAAAGCTTCTGGACCAGGGAGAAAGAACTGTTTTATTTGCTAAATCTAAGGGGCTTCAAACAGATAATTCTTGCAGTCTGAGTAATAACAATTGCTTATTGCAAGAATACCACGCAGCCGACCTCAGTGTAGGTACTTCACACGCATACTCTCATTTAATCCACAAACAACCCTTGAGGGAGGTTAATACACATTCTTATTATCCTCATTTTACAGACTGAGAATTTCCCCGCAAGGTCACAGAGCGAGGAGGTGGTGTAGTCTGTCTGCAGAGCCCACATTCTTAACACAGAACAACACTGCAGTGGAACCCGGCAGTAGCAGACAAGTGGGACAAAAATACTGCATGGCTTCTTGACTGTCTTACCAATGTCACCTGAAACCCACACTGAGCACCCCGCACCCACCATCTATAGAAGTTTCAGATGTTTATGGCTCCCATAGCAAAATCATCTGAACACAGATCCAGACTGTGGACCGGAGTCAGCGCAGACCGTGGCTCAAATTCTGGCTCTGCCCTCTGACCTCAGGCAAGTTTCCTCGCCTTTCTGTCAAATTGGCCAGGCAGCTGTTTCTCACCTGCTGCCCTGAGGACGAGAGGAAGCTGGCGCCGCAAGCGACAGGCTAACACCGGAGCCAGGGCTTGTAAAACGCCGTTTCCTCTCCGTTTCTCTCCTCCTCTAGTGTGGAGGAGGGCAGCATCTTGAAGGCAAAAGGCTGCCCTCCAAGCCCTCTCCTGCCTGGGTTCCAGTCTGCCCCCTGTGTCTTGGCACAAACACTGGCGTCAGGGCTGCCACGGGATGGCCTCCTTTTCAGTAGACTCCCCTTCCCCTGCCCCCCCATTCTGCTGGGTGGACAGGGGGGTTCAAAAATAGCTATTTATTTGCTTAACTGCGGGGCGGGGGGAGCAGAGTGATCAAGGGCAAAATCAATTACTATTTTTCATCTTTGACAAAGTAATTAAGGCCATAGCGACTGGCTGATTCCGACCGAATGGCCGCTCAGTGACGGAGGCGGATTTACGGCCTGCTCGGCGGCGGCGCTCAGAGGCCGATATCACTCCAAACAGGCGGCGGCGCAGGGCGTGGGTGGAGGCCCGCAACCGCAGGACTTGAGCCTTTTCTTCTTGTTTTTCTAAATACTGCGGCTCACTCCTCGGCGCTTCCCGAGCGCTGACACCCAACGGGGCGCAAGGCCGCCCCTGGCCTCCTGCCCCCGCACGCTCTCTCTTGCCTTCGCCCCCTACCCGGCTGCCAGGCTGGTGCCCGCCACTCCGCATCCGCGTTGGCTTCAGAACAACCCCTCTAGGTCTCCCCGCTCCGCACTCTCCCTCCCCTCTCCACGCGGCCCCTCCTCTACAGAACCTTTCGACTGGAAGGGGGGGAAGGTGGGAAGCCAAAGCAGTGCCTCTGCCAACCGCCTGCAGCCTGCGCGTCAACCGCCTTTGAAGGACCTGACGCACGTCGGGCCCCAGGAGGGAACCGACTACGCACTTGGCGAGGGAGGGCCTGCGTGAGAAACGTCAGACCCGGGGGACTGACCCGGGGCGCGGGGCGGCGAGGACAGCAGTACTCCACCGCCTCTGCGCACTCCTTCTCGCTCCAGCTCGGGCAGGGAGGTCAGTGCGCCCCGGAGCATCGGTGCGCTGGCTGGACGCTCCGCTGGCGCCGGGCACTTGGTGTGGGCGGCTCAAATGCAAATTGCGAAAACTGACTTTCGAAGTCGGGACTCCCTCTTGGAAGTGGGCCCAGGGCCCGCCGAGGGAGGCCTACTCTGACCTAGGGGCGCGCTTCCTGGCGCGGAAGTCGGGGGGCTGCCAGGCCTGCCCTTTACAGTTCTCGCATCCTGGTTTGGCTCCTTGGAAACTGGGGACTGTTTCCGAAGAAGCGCCCAGCAGAGCCCCTCGGCTTTCCCCGTGGCTGCCAGAGTCCAGGGTGTTTTCGAGCGCCCACCAGGGCCGAAGCAAGCGCCCCTGTGGGATTCCTGGCCCCGCCTTCTCTCCTGACCTCCCCCAGCGAGAGCCCACCACAGTCCCACCCCATCTCCCTTCCTCCCCGCTCCCGACCTCGCTGGGTTTGCCTTAGAGCGGTCCTCTAGGGAGGGCGTGATCGGCCCCCAGACGGCCCTGTGGGAGGCTTTGGGAGATTCTGCAGGGCTCGAACGCGACTTTCTGAGCCTCAGTTTCTCCAGCTTTCAAACTGGGAGTTTCTCAAAGGTTGTTGTTAAGGCTAGATGGGGTAATTCATGGAAAGCCCTTCCACGATTGTTCGATATTGAGAGCTTAATAAATATTAAAGCGACAATACAAAGCGGCCTGAAGCCCTCAAGGAAGCTCACAAGGAAGGTCTCTTCAGGGAACCTGTCCTCCTTCCATAGTCATGCAGACCGTGGGTCCCTAGCCGGCTGCCCCCGGAGGGGCCAGGGGGCAGAGTCAGTGAGCTGAGGCATCCGCGTGCGTTCGCGCAGCTCGGAAGGAGGCGGGAGGGGCCCGGCAGTAGTGCTCTGGGCGCCCACCGCAATCTGCCGCCGCAGCCTCGCCTGCTGCCGCCGCAGCATTGTCCTCCCGTCGCGTGGGGACGGCCCAGTCGAGTGTGACGGAGCCGACCCCGAGGCAGTTGGCAAGGCTGCGGGCAGCAGGGAAGGGACAAAGTGCTTTCCGTAGCTCCCCATTTCCGAGGCCTGGAGTTGCCTGAAGGAGCCCGGCCAGAAAGGAGAGAAGGGAAGCGTTTTGATACGAATCCCCTATTAGTCTCCAAGCTACACCTATGTAAAGGTGTTTTCCCTTTCTAATGATTATAGCCATTGCTTTGTACCAGCAGGAAAGTCCATCTTTCTATCGCCACGGCCACCTCCACCCCAGCCACAGAGCAGTAGAACGTCCTCTGGTGGCATCTCGGAGGGCCAGCCCTACCGCCTGGTTGCAGCAGATGGTGATTTGGAGGGTCTATAACACCTTGTGCGTCCAAATCATTCCTGGCTCTGGTGAATTTTTATTGAGAGGGCTAGGAAGAAAGAATGGGTTTCCTTTGACTTTGAAAGTGACCTAAGAACCAGGTCAGTGTTGGAAAGAATTTCCTTTTTACTTATAATATTTTCAGAGGAGCTTAAAACATACAATGAGAATAGTGCTAATTTTACTCAGGGATTTCTCTTAATTGTGTTAATGGAGATAAAATAGAAATGCAAACACTAGACCTCAATTTTTAAGCGAAAACGTAGGATCTCTCCAACACTGGTTGGCTGGGAGGATGGGTTGTGGGAATCTGAAGTCCCACACGCAAGGTTGGTACAGGCTTATAAATGCAGGAACCGTGCGTACAGCCATTGCAGAACTGTGTCGCTTCGTGAGACCCTCCATCTCTTTATAGTAATATTGCGGAATCCGCTGCCTGCAGGTTTGGAGAGGTGGCAACAGGATCTAGCCGAAGAGAAAGAGGGAAACATGACAGTGATTTAACTCCTTCCTCTGAGCCCACCTCAGCAGCCCAAAGCGCTCCTCTGGCGGCTGCGCCTCAGCTTGGGTGCAGTGGGACGTGTCCCTCTCATGTTTCCCTTAATTAGGAGGAGGCAAACTTCTATCATTCCCTCCCGCCTGCTTCGGTTTAGTAATCAGACCCACATGAGTCACGCCAAACACGCAGCCCCCTCCCGACCGAGTGACAACCGGCCAGCGTACTCTCGGCTGTTGTCCCTTTAAAACTCGAATCCAAGGAGGTAATGATTTATCAAACTTGTCTTATCAAGAAAATGTCAAACGAAGGGCACCTTGCTTTGCACTGACGCAAACCTGGCCTTTCCCAAGGAGATATAGAAAGCGCCTCTCTTGCTGGAGCCGAACCCAGTCTTGTCAATAGCTGGTTTCACTCTCTGCCTTCAATCTATTGCCTGTTTCAGACATGGTGAGTGTTTGCTTTTGTTCTTTTAAGAGGAGAGGGGGCTGCGAGGGTAGGAAGGGCAGATTCGTTTTGGATATTTCTTTTTGAAATGTTCTGTGCATTCTGGAAGGCGAAGGGAGCGCACATTGTACTTGTGAGCATCACCTGGGGTCGGAAAGAGGTTTCCGAGGCTCTGGAGCTGAGAGGTTGGAGGTGTCTCCCAACCCCGCTATTCTGGGAACTGTCCTTGGTGCTGAAAAGCCAGGTGCCGGTACTGAAGAGAGCCGCTGTGGGTCCTAGAGGCTATTGAGATAAGAATGCTGGCTAGAACTGAGATACTTAGATTTGGTGCAGATTAAAGAGTTCTGATGTGTGCGTTTGTGAAAGAAGGTTAGACGAGAGGTGTGTGGTTGAGGTGAAGGTAATAGAATTATTCTTACAGTATAATAGTAATTATTGGAACGAATATTTACAAAGCCCGGAAAGATAACATGAGGGGAGAAAGTGGATGGAAAAAACACCGCTGACAGTTATTTTCATTTGAACCTCAATTGGGAGAAAGCAAATGAAAACTAGTCGTGAGTTTTGGTTCCCAAGCCAGTGGAGGGGCATGGATATTAAACTCGTGTGAATAGTTATTCGTGGGGAGTGGATCAAAAAACTTCTCAGGTTCTTTTACATATCTGGGAATCTAGAAATGAATGTAGGTTGTGTAAGATAACTCCAGTTACTACCTTGTGTTTGAAATCTGGTTTATTACTGTTCTTGTAGGGTTGTTGTTGCTGTTATTTTGGTCATTATCCTTATTCTTGCTTTTGCTACCTGGCGGGCGGGGGTGGGCTTTGGAGCACTGGGATTCGCACAAGCAATTTGGCCTCAAACACTCGCAGGTGCCCGGGCATCAGCTTTTGTGGCCGCAGCTTGTTTATCGCTTATTTAAAAAAAAAAAAAAGCAATGTGCATTGTTGAATGACAAAGGAAATGGGGCGGAAAATTAAAGAATCTTTCTACAATGGTGATGGGAACGTGGGCACTCTACAGTCGTGATGTGAAATCCAAAGAGGGCAGGGACCTCATGGCTGTAGGGTGATTTCCGCGCTCCGCTTCTCCCCCCTCCAAAAAACATTTCTGCCTCTTTTCTTAGTTCACCTTCTATCAGGGAGGAGAATATTAGTTTCTTTATGTCATCCAGTTATCCACAAGACGGACAGACTGAGAAATAATGATTACAGTTTTTCTTGGAGAAGGAAAAAAACAATCCAGATTCCAATTTGTTCCCTAGATATTATGTCTGGACCTGAGTTGTGAACACCTCTATAGGTAGATACAGGTATTTTTAAAGCTGCCGTGACTTTTTTTTTTTTTTTTTTTTGCACGAACTTCACATTATGTTTGCAGGATTGCGGTGCTCCCAAGGAAATGAATAAACAACCAGCCAACAGCCTGGAGGCGGCGGTGGCGCTGGGCCACCACGATGGCTCGTGCGCACCCAGGACGAGCCCGGAGCAGGGGCTTACCGCGGCCGCCGCCGCGCCGCCGTCGCGTGTGCCAAGGTCCTCTTCCACCGGCTCCCAAACTTTCCGTTTCCCCGACGCGCGAGCCTGCGAGGCCGAGTGGCCGGGAGTAGGGGCTTGCAAACTCGGTAGCCCGCGGGCGCCGGCGGCCTCGGCGGCTCTGCGGGACTTGAGCGAGGCGCACGGCGCGCAGGCCGCCCCTCCTTCAGGGGGCGCCGGGCCCGGCAACGCGCTGCATTGTAAGATTCCGGCCCTGCACGGCCCGGAGGGGGATGCGAACGTGAGCGTGGGCAAGGGCACCCTGGAGCGGAACAATACCCCGGCCGTAGGCTGGGTGAATATGAGCCAGAGCACCGTGGTGCTGGGCACGGATGGAATCACGTCCGTGCTCCCGGGCAGCGTGGCCACCTCTGCCGCCCAGGTAAGCAGGTCGCGCTCGAGCCGCGCCGCCTTCTGCTCCCCAGCCGCGCGAGAGGCGAGCCAGGCCGAAGCGGGTGCACGTGTGCTGATGGGGAGACCGGATGGCAGAGCCAGGTGATGGATGCGGGAGGCAGCTTTGGGGCTTCGGAAACTCGCACTGCGCTGGGGTCACTAGTTCAGGGCGCGAGGGCTGCAGCGAAGCTGCCAGAGGAACTGCGACCTCAGGACCTGCCGCTACCTGCCCCCTCCCAGCCTCAGTGGTAGCGGAAATCCAGGTGCAGACTCATTAAGCAGTTGAGGCATTTAGATTCTTGCCCCTTTCTGCAGACAGAACCCCCTCTTGCTAATGACTGGGTCTTCGTTTTTTTCCAAAACAATTCTTAATTTAAAAAAGGAGAAGAAAATACAGAGAAAAACCTGGGGGAATAATCACTTAAGTCCTGTAGGCTTTGCACTGCGAATTACATTTATCACATGAGAGCTCATTTGATGAGAGGTGGCTTACGTGAGGCCAGTACTGAAGTTTAAGCCTCAGAGCCTATATTTTCCAAAACCTGGTACCTAATTTTGTATATATATATATATTTTTTCTTAGAGTACCTCTCTCAATTGTATGAGCCTCAGGCCCCCAAAACCTGGATTCACCTGTGCATTTGATCCTTTACGCTCAACCAGAAGCATGAAAAGCCCACAAAGCAAATCCCAGTCCTGAGTCAGGGATGAGGCAGCTATTCCTTGTGGCCCCCCTCCCATATAGACTTTTGTCTTCTTCCATCTCCCTCCAGTTTCTCTCCCTCCTTCCATGATTTCTTTCCTCCATCCCCTTTCACATACTTTAGCTCTTCCTTTCCCATTGCCTGCCTCTACTGCTATCTCCTCTCCTCCCCTGGGCTCAAGGGCTAAGCGTGTGTAGCCAGTGGTGGGCTCTTGAAATAGAACATCTGCCTGTGTGAGATCTAGGGTATGTATAGCCCTTCTTAGTTACTCTAGTGTTTGTACACACACACACACACACACACACATGCCCACACAGCAAGAGCTCAGCTGTTACAATAACTAGAAATGGACATAAACTTAGGCTTTCCCGCTCGCCCTTGCTTTTGGGGTGCACCTCTGGAGCGTTTGACTGTGTGCATTAACAGCAAGTGACAGCATGTTCCCAAGAGTGTGACCTCAGGTAGAGGCAGAAAATTTGTTCCGCATGCCTTGCTTAACCTCCGCACTGCGGCAAAAGGGCTGGAATTCCCACCCTTCGTAGCCCCGGAAGAATTGAAGTGGGGTGGTGGTGACTGGAGGTGGTCTGTGTGTGGGAGGAGTGTAGTGGGGTTATTAAAGATGTTCAGTATAGATCAAGCCCTGCCTTTGCCTATTTTCAGCTCTGCCCATCTTTCCGATTCTCGCCTTTCTGCCACCCACCTCGACCCTCCTCCTCTCTCCCCAAGACTTCCTTCCCATTTGGGCAGGTGCTTCTTTACCCTCCATGGCCTGTGGAACAATGTGGACGTGCC